CTCCAAAGGGTCCAGCTGAGCCACAACACATAGATATTGAGAACCCTCTTATGGGGTTCCTGTGATGGTCATGGTCAGTTGATGTTCTGCTGGCTAGCAGGACAAGGTATATGGGGAAAATCACACCTGGCTGCAGGAGCTGGACCAGTGAAACCTTCCAGAAGAAAGAAAGATTGCTAATATTATCCATGTGAATCTCGACAGCTACTTCATATGAGTAGAGTACGCTGACTGCCATTTTACAGTTGGTTTATAAATGGAGTGGCTAGAAGTTGAAATTTTGCCAAGTTCATACTCCTAAAGCAGCCTTTTATGTACACTAAACTTCAGGCCCCATTTCTTAATGACTTTTTTGCTTTTTTTGTGCATATTAGAAAGATTAAGACTCTTCAGACTGGCAGTGTTTTATTGTTTTCATTGGTTAGTTCCCTCCTCATTAGAAAATGATGGTATAAATTTGATTCCAAAAGTTTTGAAAATACATGATTTCTTGGACCCTGGAGCTTAGTGTATAGATTTCAGAAAGTTAAAAATGGATTAAGGGGTCAGAGGGATTTGGAATTATAACCTTGAATTAATTAAGGCATTCTCTTGTGAGAAAATAGTGATTGCCTTTGTATTTTTATGATAAGGAGACCCGGAAGATAAAATGCTAGAGGGAGTTAGAGGATAAAGAAAATGGAGCCAAAATCTTTATTACCTTTTGATTCTTTCACCAAGCTTCTTAACAAAATGGATGAATTTATTGACAAAATGAAAGGTGCATGTTACAAAGAAAATACAGAATAACAAGTTGCATTGAATCCTGCTCTGAAGGGAGATTTAAACATAATACAAATGGAACTGATGGATTACTTACAGATAGTTCTTGATTTATGACCACAATTGAGTCCAAAATTTCTGTTATGAAGCAAGACAGTTGTTAAGTCAGTTTTGCTCCATTTTATGACCTTTCTTGCCATAGTTGTTAAGTGAATCACTGCAGTTATTATATTAATAACACACATGTTAATTGGATCTGGCTTCTCCATTGACTTTGCTTGTCAGAAGGTCACAAAAAGTGATTATGTGAGTTGGTACCAAGCACCTGAATTTTGATCATATGTTCTTGAAGATGCTGCAATGGTTGTAAGTATGAAAATCAGTCATAAATTGCTTTTTTTCCAGTGCTGTTGTAACTTTGAACTGTCACCAAATGGTTGAATGGTTGTCACCAAGTTAAAGACTACCTGTGTTCCCCAAAAGAGATGTATAGATGATTTGGATAAGTGTTCTTTACTGAATGTGCAAAAGAACTCTGTTAAGGTTTTTGAAGAACTGCATAAACAAAAGGATTATTGGACTTGCAAAATATGTTAAGCTTTCAAAGTCTTTTGTTTTGAAACAGATGAACAGTAAGCTAACTCTAGGACTTTTTTTGAATCGGTTAAACAACATCTTTAAAAATTCTGGGAAGGTTTATAAATTTGGCTTATTTGATCACATCTAAAGGATGGGATAGGATAGGATAAACAGACAAACATCTGGTTGTCCTTACTGAACTTTTAGTAAAGAATGTTTAATGAAATATTTGGATTTTTTTAAAATTAAGAGATGAGCTATGAGGATAATTACTCTGTATTTAGAGATGGTGATAAGCTACTAAATTTTTTTTACTTGTTGGATGAAGCAGAAAGTTTTTTTTCTTTTTGTCTTTTTCCTGTCCTATCTCCCCCACTCCTTTTTTTTCCTTTTCTATATTTATATTTGTGGTTTTTATATAGTTTGTATTGGCTTTTACTCTTGTCATCTATAATCCTTAATAAAAAAAATATTTGAAAAACAGAGAACCTTGTAATGAGAAAGAGGAGAGACAGAGACAAAGAGAGACAGAGAACAACCTGCTATAATCATGCTAGAATAAAAGGTTGACAGTTTATTAGATTACAGGATTCTCTCTCTCTGTGTGTGTGTGTGTGGATCCTCTAGCTTTCAAAGGGTGATGAAGTGGGTAAGAGATGCCAAGAGAGTGACCGGAGGAATATGATGAGTGAACTTGAGGAAGCACAATTAAAGTTCTTAAACTTTCCTTTGGAATATTGATAAATAAGAGCCGAGGTGGCGCAGTGGTTAAATGCAGCACTGCAGGCTACTTCAGCTGACTGCAGTTCTGCAGTTCGGCTGTTCAAATCTCACCNAAGCGGTATTGCAGGCTAACTCTGCCGACTGCCAGCAGTTCGATCCTGAGTGGCTCAAGGTCGGCTCAGGCTTCCATCCTTCCGAGGTGGGTCAAATGAGGAGCCAGATTGTTGGGGGGCAAGAGGCTGTCAACCGCTTAGAGAGGGGCTCTAAAGCCCTGTGAAGCGGTATTGCAGGCTAACTCTGCTGACTGCCAGCAGTTTGATCCTGAGCGGCTCAAGATCGGCTCAGACTTCCATCCTTCCGAGGTGGGTCAAATGAGGAGCCAGATTGTTGGGGGCAAGAGGCTGACAGTCAGCCGCTTAGAGAGGGCTGTAAAAGCACTGTGAAACGGTATATAAGTCTACAGGCTATTACTAAATCTTACACGGGATGGCGAGGGGTGTTCGCCCAGCCAAACCAACCCTTTAAAACACTCCCCCCTCCCCGCTACTCTCCCTGCAGGGGCCAGACTTCCAGGCCTTCCTTTTGACCAAGCTGATCAACGCTGAATACGCCTGCTACAAAGCAGAGAAGTTTGCCAAACTAGAAGTGAGTTTTCCAGGAAATTGGGGGAGAGGGGGGGCCGGGGGCGGGAAAGGAGCCTCTCTGGCTGGCTCTTCTGCAAGTGGATGGGTGGGTGGGTGGGTGTCCCAGGACCTCCTCCGTGCCTCCCCCCCCCTTACGCAGCTTGCTGATCCTCCTGCGGCCTCTGCAGCCGGTTCAACGGGACGGGGGTGGGGGTTTCGCCTTCTTGCGACAGGAGCGAACGCGGGCGGCTCTGCTGGAGACCCTCTACGAGGAGCTGCACCTCAACAGCCAGTCCATGATGGGCCTGGGGGCTGAGGAGGACAAGATGGAGAACGGCGGGGGAGGCAGCAGCAGCTTCTTTGAATCGTTCAAGGTGAGGGAGGGCAGTGGGGCCGGAGATGCTCTGGGTCACCCTGTGGGTTCGTGCCTTGATCTCCCCCACCCACCCACCCTTCGGCAGCCCCTCCTAAGCCCTTCGCCCCTTCCCTAGCCTACCTCCCTTTGCCCTCTTCGCAGACAGTGGGAGCCAGACTGGTCCTCCACCTGTCCCTACTGGGAGGGGCAAAGGGTGGGGAGAGAGCCTGGGGAGGGGCGAAGGGTGACTCAGGGTGGGCCGGCCTTCCCTTCCAGCGAGTGATTCGCAGCCGCAGCCAGTCGATGGACGCCATGGGTCTCAGCAGCAAGAAACAGAGCACCGTCACCACCAGCCACAGCGGGAGCTTTGGGCACCCCAGCCCTGACATCGCCAAAGCCCTGGGCCTAGTGAGTGCCCCCCACCCATCCTGTCTTCAGTGCCCGCTTTCCCCCACTCCCCTTCACAGCCCCCCGAATCCTTCAGCGCCTCCTGGGGTAGTCTTTGCTTGGGCTGCCACCCCAATGGGGATGGCGTTGGATATTGGCAGGGTGGTCCGGGGAGGATGGAGGGTTCAGCAGCAGGCCCACATCCCCCCCCCCCCCCCCCCCCGTGCTTCCCTGTTTGGCATGCAGTGCCCCAGAGTGGCCACCGGGTGGCAGCCTTGGCCCAGCATA